GCTTCTCCCTCTCCCACTCCCCCTGCTTGTGTTCCCTCTCTCACTGTGTCTCTCTCTCTGTCAAATAAATAAATAAAATCTTAAAAAAAAAAAAAGAAATGAGAAACCAATTGGCAGACATAGTTTTACATAATTTTTTTAGTCAATTAAATACTGCATATACATACACTAGAAATATGAAACAAGATTTTTGACTTTAAAAACAAACATTTCTTATCAATCTCAATACCATTTTTTACTGTAATCAGGAATGCAAGTGAACATCAATACTATGTATTGAGTTTATTATTTATTTTACATCCTTACATATGAATGATGCAATCTTCTGTTCAAGAGGGCAGTTAATTTATTTGTTTAATTAACCTTTTTCTTTTTTTTTGGTGGAAAAATATGGAATGTTTCATGAGTTTGCATGTCATCCTTTTAAACGGGCCATGCTAACCTTCTCTGAATTATTCCAATTTTAGTTTACATGCTGCCAAAGTGAGCACAAGATTATTTATTTTTGAGATACTGTTTTGTCAATTCTTAACTAATATTTCTTTGTGTTGGCTCCAGTTCAAATTTAGAGAGCATCTGAAAATGGACAGTTTTGAATGTAAAAAGCTTATCCTTAAACTAGAGATATCTTCTGGCTCTTGGGACAAATGTCCCGTGAATTTTGACCTCTTTATGTTGTAGATAAACACTCATTTCTGATTGCCTTACCTGGAGCAGTCATGGCCTGTCCAAGCCGAGAGACAGTGACATCGATTTGGTCTTATGCATTTTCCACCATTTAAGCAGGGAGACTGGCAAACAGCTGGAATGAAAAATTCACGCATTTATTTAATTAATACTTAGCAAGTCGGAAGACATTCAACGAAGGCACGTAGAATAAGATCTGACTCTGTTTTCTGCTCTAACCACTGCCATTCCCCACCCACTATTTGCATTACACATTTCTGCCACTTTGTTTGACCTCGTGTCATTATGTGACACCACCCACCCACTCCCTTTTTCCCTCCAAGCCAGGCAATTCTCATATTTAAGCTCCAGGTTAAGTCCTACACCTGTGTATTAAAACCTTTGCTGATAACATTAAATCCACTGATTTTTCTCATTTGTTCTTTATGCAACCAATCTGACATACACAGTTTTGAACTGCAAATTTTTCCTATGCTCAGTTAGACTATATATCACTTGAGAGAGCTAGCAGCGAATTCTAGACACCAGACACCAACTCTTAAGACAATCAATCAGACATAGAATCTAAAATAACAAAAAGCAAAACAAACAAATAAACAAAAATAGCAGATGATTCACAAGTTCTTTGTATTTGCTAGAAAACACATTTCATGGCTTTTACCATCTTTAGCTGGAATTACAGAACCTGGAACAGAATTAAAAATTAGCCACAGATAAAACCCTGAGTGATATACCTAAAGATTTACTTTCTCACAAATCCACTGCATCATAACCACACTCTTCAATTGCATGTATCTACTTGTAAAAAACTTATGGATGCTAAAAACTGATGAGGAACTGACACCCACAAGTTTAACAAAACAAAGAAAAAGGAGAACTTCCTCAAGGAAGAAAATAAAATTCCTGTTGAAAGAAGGCTGGAAGTGAGAAATGTTTCAGCCTCATTATAGCACGGAAAAAAGTAGGCTTTCCAGGATGAAAAACTCATCTTTGGTGAGATATAAATAAATGTCATTTCTTTAATCATTCATCCAACTTGATAAGCAAGCACTGGGCGGGAAGAGAGAGGACAAATAAAAAACCCTGTCTTCATCTTTGGGGAGCTCTCGTGGGGAGTTAAAGAGTAGGAGTGGGCCAACAGAATGCATGTATCTGCCACATAATAAAGAGGAAACTATGAAACAAAGCAGGATTAAAAATAGCAAAAATAAAACCCAATCATTGAAAACTAACTCTCCATAGATTCTGCTTACTAATAAAAAAATGACTCCTGTTCCTTCCTTTTATTTTTAAAGATTTATTTGCTAATTTTAGAGACAGAGAGCACACATGAGTGGGGGGAGGGACAGAGGGAAAGGGAGAAAGTATCTCAAGCAGACTCCATGCTGAGCGTGGAGCTCGATGTGGGGCTGGGTCTTAAAACCCTGAGATCATGACCTGAGCCGAAATCAAGAGTCGGACGCTCAACTGACTGAGCGATCCAGGCGCCCCACTCCTTTTCAATAGCATGATGATTTAGTGGTTTCTGACTGTACTAACAAATTCATTTTACTCCTTGCTTAATAGCTTAGCACTTTCCTCCTTCCCTATAACAGGGATGCCCCCAGTGTTCCATTTTGGGCTACCTTCTCACGTGATGGGCCTTCTGTACAGTCTTATGTTTTTCTCCATGAATGTCTTCCAGCGATGACTTACATACTGCTATCTTCAATCTAGGTGTATCTTCTGGGAACCCAAACCATCATTCAGCTGCTGATCAGAGCTCTCCCTGGTATGTTTCACAGGCTCCTCGAACTCAGCATGTGCATGCTTAACTCCTCATCTGTACCTTCAGACCTGCTCCTCTTGGGTTTTCTATCTCAGTAAACGGCAGTACCTTCCCCTCAGGGGCCCAAAACATGTATCAGTCTTGATTCATCTCAGACTTTTACTCCCACAACAAATCTATAACCAAGTAGTGAGACACCTCCCTAACTTCTCTCAAATCCACCCTTTTCAGTTATCATTTTTCCAGACTTCATTACATCTTGCCAATTCTGCTTTGTTAACTGCCTAAGTGGACTCCCAATTGTTAAGTCTTCATTTTCCATACTGCTGCCAAAATCACTTTTCTAAAAGAAAATCTCATCACGTGACTTTCCTGCTTAAAACCCTTCAGAGGCTTCTGTTGCTCATAGGACATAATCCAGCATCTTGAACTCGGCATACAATGCATTTCCTCCTCCGGCTCTGCCCCTCTCTGCAGCTTCATTTCCAGTCACACCTCTACATTCCCTCTACAGCTTCAGTTCTACTATGCTGAACACACCTGTGTTATGCTTCCATGCTTTTGACTAGAATGATCTTTCTCCTGGTGACTACTCTTGTTCTTCTTCTGAGTCTATGCTTATGAAGACTCCTGAATGTCTGCTCTTGGGTAGTGTACCCGTCTTCACTGTCGTCATAACCCTTTCCAGAGAATTCAATTAGCCTGCAGTTATCTACTTATAGGCCATTCTGCATCCTTCCTGTTTTTCTAGGTTAAATTCTGGAGGGCAGGAGCTCCTGTTTCATACGCTGTTGTATGCTTAGTATGTAGGACATGTGAGCAGGATATGTGCTGAGGTAGCTGCTCCAAGAAAGGAACACTATGTGGCTCAGTGTCATTAGGGAGCTTATGCTAGTTAGGGAGCCAAGGAGCTAAAAGAAGTACAGAAAAATCAGATCAATGGAGATTGTACCTAATTGTGTCATATCTATAGAAATGGGATGTTAGGAAATAGATTATTGTGGTATAAAGCAAGTTTGGAGATAAGAGGAAACTTAGGCAGGGCTTTTGAGGTTGGATAAGGTTTGAAGAGGTAGGGGAAAGAGGGAAACCATGAGCCTGTGCTGAGCGATGGGGATAACAAGGAAGCCATCACTGCAGGGAACAGTGTGTGATTGGTTGGATGAAAGTTGAGTTTTACCAGGTGTGCTAAAGCCAGTCTACGCAGAGCCTTGGAAGTCAGAAGTATTTGTGCCGAAAAATTTGGGCTGGATGTGGAGACAATAGGGTACCATTTTAGGTTCTGAAACAGGGCAAAAAGATACACCGAAAGGCGTACATAATGATGTTTAGCTTGGAAGTGGAGGGACAGGATGATCAACCAGTAGACTCTGAGGGTGACTCCAAGAAGAGATCTTTTACTAGCTGGTGGACAGTGGGGACAGAGTAGGATGGAGGAGGTACTGTGCAGAGAGAAGCAGAAAGGTGCTGATACTGGGAATCTCAGCAGAAGGAGTAGGAGAATCAAGGATGCCTCCACCTGGAAGAGTGGGACCACCACCTGCAAAGTAAGATGGCTGGGAAATGGCCTGAAGCATTTGCACGTGACTTCAATTTGGAAATGCAGATAAAACCTCTAAGTTGATTTGTTACAAACAAATGCTCTATAGATTGCTTTTAGATTTTCAAATAAAAGCTTCGCATTTAACCTCCAGTAGATTTTTCCTTTTCTACATTCATGGATGGCTGTTCCGGCTTCCGGTAGGGGGCCGACACATCTGATTTTGCGGTGACAGTACATGTCACTCCCATTTCCTTAGTTTACTTATCAACAGTACCCCTTCCGCTCTCAAAAATGTCCGAGTTTGAAAGCTAAGTTCTACGGCCACCCAGCCTTAGAGCTCATAACAAGCTCTGGTGCCAACACACCTGTTCTGGCTTTTGTTTCAGCGCCCCTCCCCCCCGCCAGAGGTGGTATGAGTATTGTTTACAGGAGGGATGGTGGAGAGTTAGAATACCAGATCAATACAGCAAGTTCTACTCTTTTAACAGTTGCCTAAAAATGTCAGACTTTTTAACAAAGGCTAAAACCTGTCATTTTAAACATTCATTTTCCAACATGAGAAACCTATCATAGGCAGGCGCTATACTAGGTCCTGGGCATGTGATGATCACAAAGAGATATCCCTGCCCTCAAGTGGCACATAATCTAGTGAAGGCAAGGACAGTTGGATGATCCAACAATGAAGACCTCAAAGTATAGAAAAGTAAATGTCGTATTTGAGATAGGTAAGGGTGGTTAAGGGGACGTGTTTGTCACCAATCAACAACAGTTTGGTACTGTTGTCTACGAAGAACCTTTGATTTAACTCAAATGGTATTTATTTAGAGCCTTGTTCTTTCTAAATAGTTACCACAAAGTTAGTAATCCAGTTTCATAGAGATGGAAATAAATATTCTTCTGAACCTCTGCACGTCTTCTCGATACACTGCAAAGCAGAGCAGATGACGTGAAGGAGGCTGACAACTGAGTTGACTTAGATTCTCTTCTTTGGTTTGCGACCCTGACAGGTACCTCTGATGCAGCCATAGACTTCAGCATTGAGCCTATCATTCAAGAGACCATCCTGAGGAATTCTTGAGAGGCTCTGGCACCCTTTTGTTTCCCTGCCACCTCTGAATCTGAGTCACACTCACCATTGTCCTTGGCGGCCTCATAGAGCCAAATCCACAAGAAAACAAACCCGAGAGAAAAACCTACCTGTATGACAGCGGGACCCTGTCCAGCCAGGTGGGCAGTCACACTGATAAGGGGCCACACAGCGACCACCATTCAAACAGGGGAGAATGCATATTGCTAGAAAGGAGACCAAAAACGGATTTAATCAAAATATACACATTCAGATATGTTCAAGTGTTTTCCAGGAAGAGGAAAACCTTGAATGACCCACCGGATAGTCTCCCTGGATGTGTTCTGTTTATTAATCGGTAAACACAATCAGGAAAGTAAGGGTGGGCCTTTACCCTCATGAAATGACTCTGGGGCCAAATGCACTCTTTTAGAAAGGATATACCGTAATCAATGTCTGCTAAGTGCTTTGCTTTCTCTTCACAGAATAAGCAGAATGTTCTCCATTTATTATCATTTCAAATTTCCTTTTCAAATTACATGAAGTGCTCAAGAGGGTTTGGCTGTCTCGAGGCTCTCTTACTGTCCTGAATTAAATGTAAGCATGGGGTCAGAGGGGCTATCCTGTGCTGGTTTTGGCAACACATTAGCAGTGATGGGACAACTCACTCTTTGAATATCCTTGGGGCAGAGGCCTGATGGTGACTGAATCAGGCCTCCCTTACACCCTCCATGACAATCATTTTTCCTAGAAATTACTGAGCTCTTTAAAGAGGAACAGTCTGTTTAAAAGGAGTGAGATTGTCTCTTGGCTTCCTACTCAAAGCACAGTTCTCAAGCCAATAGCACTGGCATTACCTAGGAGCTGGCTAGAAATGCAGAATCTCAGGTCCCTACCCAGAACTACTAAATCAGAGTCTGCATTTAACATCTTGCAGATGGTTTGTATGCACACTAAAGCTTGGGAAGCCTTGGTCTAGTGCAGGAGGACAGGCACATGCTCAGTGAGCTCAGCTAGGCTTGCTGTAAGGGTCCCCCAGGGTAAATGTTTCCCTGGTCTTTGGACTCTTAGCATTATAGCAGGTCAAGTTTGGGAGCCCTAAATGGGAAGGAGTGATCGGGGAGAAGAGGGAGGAAAGACATAATTTCTCTTCTTTCTTAATCATTGTGAGAATACTTGCTTTGGTGAGTTGTTAGCAGCCAAATTTATTTCCATTGTATATTTTCCTTTCTAGATTAGTTGCAATAGTTACACTTAAAACAGTTTTAGAATCTCTTATAACATGTCTGGCCTTCAAGAAAACTGATACAGACCAATGGTCATCACCCAAATGACTCCTAATGTGATTTACAGACACCACTCCCAATGAAACATGAAATCATTTTATCCTCATATATATATATTTAAGATATTGGAACAAATGTCTACAGTTTAGACATTAAAAAAAAAACATTTAAAACCACTTATTTCCATTCTCCTGAAAGTTCAAATTCAAACGTATTTTTATAAGGATCAAAATTCTATATTAATTTACTAAACATTGTATAGATACCGGAGTGCCCACTTTCCCTATTTTCTTTGTTGGGAAGAACTACCCCTAATGAAAAAGAGTGAATGGCGGGCTGCAAATACTACATACAAAGTACGGTGTTATGCAACATCATGAATTTATCACAACTGCAGCAATGAGAGGCACAGCACATAAATGGACTTGAGATAGGGAAGACATAGGCTGGGAAACCCTCTATTATAAGGTCCTTCTCAAGAGGATTCTTGGGAATTTGTGACAAGAGGCATGTGGAGATGGCTCTGAGTGGATCACAATCACTATATTTTCAAGGTCACCTATATCCTAGCTCTTTTGCAACTAATTGACATCTTCAGATCGACTCTAGGCCCTCTTGTCTGGTCTGCTGCAGGATTTAAGCGAATAAATTCCTTCTACCAGTAAAGCCAGTCCCCTGAGTTGGCAGCTTCCAGGCAAATTATCAGGACTCAAAGTAAGATTTAAGGACATAACATGTAAGGTTTGAGGACGGACTCACGTTCTTCACAGAGGCGCCCCATCCAGCCATCTGGACAGGAACAAGCATTGGGGCGTTGGCAGATACCTCCATTCTGACATGGGAATCGACAGACAGCTAGAAAAGAAGCAGGATGGATCATAAGCCCAGGGAACTATGGAAGGGCATTTGTTGGAAAATAGGATTCCTTATTTACATTTCATGACGTTTCCTAGAGGCAAGCTTTACGGAAGAGAAACAAAACTGAAACTCAAGATTCAGTCAGGGACGGGAGGGCTCTCGGAAAGGGGCATAAATCAACTTGGGTAGTTCTGAGAGTATGGCTTTCAAAATTTTAGTAATCTGGGGATTCAGGGCAGAAGGGGACAAGGTGGTTTAGACAAAAGGTAATCTCTTTTGGTCTGGACCAGGGGAAATGCCTCTTTCAGAAGGTCTGAGAATGCCCTTCCAAAGGTGCCCTTGATGGTCTGGTCGATAGCTCTTTGGTGCCGCCACTGGCACTCAGTGTCTTAAAACAAGCACGTGAAGGAACAAACAAGCCAGCCAGCACACACACATCTCTCATTTAACTTCTGATTTGAAGTGAAGCCTGGGCTATTCCATGAGGATGTCACCTCCTCCGCTGCCCTCTCATTCTCTTACATCCCACGTGTTAGGGACCTTGTTTCTCACTGTTGGCTTTCAGACAGTTCATCTCCCTTCTCCTGCAATCACCCTTGCCTCTCTTGAGGCTCATGCCATTCATTCATTGATTTCCTCAACTCTCTCAGCCCCAACGGGTCATTAAAGACTCTGGCCTTTTCACCCCAAATCCAAACCTGACCATGGCCCATGGGGCCATGTGGAAAACCTACTCAGCAATTTGATTTTTCTTTTAGCTCCTTGGTTATGTTTGTCTTGTTCACTGGCATAGCTCTTGACTTTCAGTAAGTATTTGTAGACTGGAACAATCATTATGGTTTGTAAAAAAGTGTAAGTTTTAGGACCTACTAGGATGCCTCGTTATCTACCTCTTTCAGTGTTGCAGAATTTTAAGCACAGAACCTTGTTCCCTTGTTCCCCCAAGGAGATTTTATTGAACTCACACACAAAATTCATCCTTGGGTTGGCAAATTCAATCCAGCAAGTGAAGGGACAGCAGTGCTGATATGAGCATGGATGGAGTGCCTGTCACCAGCCCCCAACATGGCCAGGGAGACCCTGGGGTGGGCTCCACCTCCCTAAGGCTGCCCAGTACCTCCTGTGTCTTACTCTGCCCACCAGACGGGCTACCCCATCTCCAGCAGGGCTAGGAGTCTGCCCAGGATGGGGGGTAGAACTGGAATCTGCTGGAACTACCTGACTGTCCAAGAAATGCCCTCATGGCTCACACATAACACAGCTCCCCTAGCAGCTGGAAAACACCCTGAGAGAACACTTGAACTGAGGAGCCATGATTGACTCAGGAAGGGGCCGTGTGCTGGGCCACAGTTCTGTATGAAAGCTTTCAAAACTCAAACCCATAAAGTTAAGGAAAATGACATAGATGTCAAGGGAAAACTTAAAGCCAAGGAAAAGTAAAAGAGCATGCATACTAGCTGTTGGCCTTATCAGACTTTGATATGCATTTCCCTACAGCTTCCCTGAGAAATAACCGTTCAAAGATTCCCTTACCTCTGCAAACAGGAGGTGATGTCCAGGTTCTGTTCTCTAGGCAAACACTCCTTAGGGAACCCTCCAACATGTATCCACTGTAACACGAGTAGGTGATCATGTCCCCATACTGATAATGTATGCCTCGAGCAATCGCGTTTTCTACATGAGTTGGTGGACCACAGGATATTTCTACAGGAAAACAAAACCACAATGAAGCCTGTGCGACCAACCCAGCCAGTGGATGGAAGAGAACACAGTCTCCTCTCAAAGACTGAATTAATTTAAAGAGCAAAGATAAAATATATAAAGTTACCTTTTCACCTGTATAATAACTAAAAGATAGTAGGAACTAAAAGCATAATCTGCTGCTGTCTAGAAAAATGAGATGTGCAGGATCAAAGGTTTTGCCTTCCGATTCAAATGCTGAAGCTGAGCTTCTTCTTCTTTTTTTTTTTTTTTTTACTCAGGCAAGAAGTCTCTAGGAGCCCAAGAATGAGCTTTTGTGGATTGCCAAAGAGGTGGCTTCCAAGACAACGTTCATGCAGGATGCCGATCAAATTAGAAAGGGAGAAGCATGGGGGTTATTTGCAGTCTACTGTTTTAGAGTAAAGATCATGAATTGCACTACTGTATATTCCATCAAGGCCATTTTATTAGTGCCTAGGACAGCACCTGGTATGCAGTGGGCTCTCAAGACATGTTTGAAAAATGAATAAATGAGTACTGTCTCTGGCCTGTCCATACTGTCTACACCCCTTGATGAGGTTTATGACATTCGAGGTTTCAAGGTTTCACATCAGTTTCCTTCTTTTCAAGACAGTAACACAGTGACTCTTTGCTTTTGAAATACGTGAAATTGAATGATAATCCTCTCTTTTAGAAGCGACTTGTACTGTATATTTAAATAAAAAATTTTATAACTAATTTTGCCTTGAGAAGCCTTGAGATAACTAGAGTTATTTTGGCGTGGCTCACAAAACAAGGACTGGATTGGAGCTGGGACTCCAATCAATATCCTGTTTGTATAAGTCTAACTTTTGGATGACTCTCCATGAATTCTAAAAGGTCACTTTGTGGTCATAATACTATTAAGAACTTGTCAGGGGGGATGACAATGTGTATGTTTTTTCTGAATTTTCTTCTCCTTCTAAGGTGGTTACAAACGTTAATTCAGTGAGTTAGATATCAAATATGTGTTAATGCCTACTGTGGATCAGAAACTGGAAAGAAACCAATAAAGAAAATGTGGTCCCATTGTTCAGACAAGTAGCAGAATGATGGACAACTTAAAAAGAGCTGTTGTACAGGCCTGGATACTCTACTATAGGAAAATCAAAGTGAATGTGACTAATTATGCTTAGGACTATCAGGGTACAAATTGCAGTGAAAGCGGCATTTAACTAGGCTCTAGAGCTTGAGTAGATCAGAGGGAAAGAGCTTCCAGGCTTGGGGAGCGGCAGATAGAAAGATCATGGCAAGCTGATGGCTGGATTACTGAAGTGACCAAAGCACGGATTTCAGACGACCTATACAGGAATCATCTTGGGTTCTTGCTAGAAGTGAAAATATCGGGAGTTTCTAGTTTGTAAGTCTGCATCTTACCTATGCTCCCTAGGTGATTCCCACACACGCTAAATTTTAATCACTGATTCATAAAGATAATTATCAGGACGAGGTGAAAAGAATGAGGTAAGTTGTTGCTCATGTCCCTCAGGGAAGAGATTTTCTTCTAAGCCAGAGGCTTTCTGTTTAATAAAAAATGCAAAAGAGGGATTGAGGATAGCAAACGGGTAGAAACTGTCTCCTTCTCTCCGAGGCAACCCCTGAGCCTCTCAAGAATATGGAGGAATCAGGAAGCATGCACCGGAGTGCATGTCTCTCCTTACTCTGCCTTCCAGTGCTCTGAGTGGTACGTCTCAGGGAGCCGAGACCAACGTGGGGATACGTGTGCAGAACCAGGCCACTTGGCCTGCTTTAGTTCAGGCTGGTGGTCAAAGCTTATACATACGTAGTTCTCCCATTTCACTTGGAGTAGACTTTATAAGGCTAAAAGTATAGTACATATTTCCTGGAGTAAAATCAAAATTCTAATGCTGTGGTAGACCGCTAGTTGAAAATTCAGGCACTTGGGCTATTGGTGTATTTCTTCCTATCAGGAGATGTTGCTGAAATAAATACACCGATTCATTTATTCTTCAAAACAAACCTGTAGGATAGGTGTTATTGGGGCTATTAACACATGAGAGCCCTAAGGCTCAGAGAAGGGCACTGGCATGAGTTTAGACTTAGAAAGTTTTGAGGACAGAATTCAAACCCAGGTCTTCTCTGACTCCACAATTCCCATGGCCTTCACACACACATTTCTTCTTAATTGGAGTACAAGTGTTCTGAAGATGGTTATTGCAGGCATGATATGTTCCTAGACTATGTAGCCCAATGTCCTGCATCTGGTTAGACTCAATGAATATTTATTAATTGATTGCTACAGAGGGAGTAGCTTGGACGACAAGGGAGCCGGAGGGTAGGAAGTTGGGCAGGGGAGATGTTTTAAGTGCAGGAAGTGTGTGTGAAGAGATGTCAAGAGTTATCACAAGGCAGCAAGAGATGCTGTCGGACTGTGTGTTACGTATCAACATGGTGCTAGCCCAGAGGTTCTCAAACTGTTGTTCCAGGACCAGTATCTCCAGCAGCAACACCTGGGAACTTGTTTGAAATGCACATTCTCAGGCCTCACCCCAGAGTACTGAATCAGACATTCCAGAGAGGGGCCCAGAAATCTGTTTTAAACAAGTCTTCTAGGTGGTTCAAGTTTGAGAACCACTGTGGAATAATTTTTGTATTGCAAAGCATCCATAGCCTGTTAAAGGATAGTTTGGGGACTCTCAGAATATGGTAAAGTATGTATTTTATTTAATTTTTTAAAAGTAATCTCTACGCTCAACCTGGGGCTCGAAATTCATGACCCTGAGATCAAGAGCTGCATGCTCTATCCACTGAGCCAGCCAGGTGCCCTGGGAAAAAAATATATTTTAGATTTAATATTTTGCTCATTCCTAGAAGAATGTATTTTGAAAATCTGTTCAGTGAATCCTGGCCAGATAGGTTTTAGCCTATTTCTGGAAAGTTTTTTCTTTTTATGTTTGGAATTCAAAGACCTTTTTTTTTTTTTTAATTTTAAAAATTGTCAACAGAGAAGCTGATAACCATAAACCAGAGATATAAATATCTACATTCAAGTTACTTGATTGAAAATATCTCACAAGGATGAGAAAACATTCTGCACTAATGAAATGAGCTGGAATCCACCTGTCCATTTACTTACTTTCACATTTGGCACTTGTCAGCGTCCATGTCTCGTCGGGATTACAGGTAATGATGCCTTGGCCTTGAAGCAGGAAGCCTTCCCTACACTTGATGGACACGTTCTGATCAACATAAAACTCCTTTTCAGAAAGCAGAGCATTCTCGGGAATCACAAAAGGAACAGGACATGGATTTGCTGTTAAACAGAAAAAAAAATGCTTACTGATATTCTCCTTCTCTTAATTTATTTCTTTAAAGGCAGAGTATGATGAGCCCTCTGGAGCTGGGTTCTCAGTGATGATAATATGAGGCTTAAAAATACAGAACTTCAAACATTAAAAAAATGTGTTTTGTATCCACATGAAATTATTTTTAAGGATAAGATCAGATCAGATCTGAAAACCTCAAGTTATTCAACCACTAACACACTGTCTTAAAATTCTAAGATGGCAAATTAAATAGTTGTTTGAAATTATGGCCCAACACTGGGGAAAGATAAGGTGTGTTAGAAATCAGGGAATGCATTAAACATTCCTTTGGTCTTTGAAGAATATTAGGAATGCAGAGTAAAATCTTCTCATTGTCACTTCACTTTCTTTTATTGAACATCCTTCAGAAGGACGCCCTAGAGAATCATCAGACTTTTCTAAGTGAGCTGAATAAAACTTCAGATTCACACTACTTACACAGGATATTATAATGTAAATTGTAGAGTTTGCAAGGCTTATTCATAAAAATGGATTCATTTTATACATCGGAAGCAAAACCAAAAAATGATTAAAACACAAGGATTTCTTAGTGCAAGTGTATGACACACATCAACATATTTCAGCAGTTTCGGTTTTTCTGATTTTCAAAAAAGTCTTTATGAGTGAAGCAGGCATCAGCTGAATCCTAAAGACTCAGTTACTGCATTATAATACTTTAAACAATAACCAGAGCCCTCTCAATTTAGATCTTTCCTGTGAATATTGTTTTCATTCAAATGCTTATAACTAGTTATCTTCATTCACTATATTTATATATACTTTATTGTATTAAAATTGTACATTAATATATTCTTTCTTCACCCTTTTCACATCCTTAATCAAATTCCTTATACATTTATGTCAAAATTTTTTCATTAAGCACATTTTTTTTATTAGTGCCTTGGACTACCTGTAATAATCCAAGGAATCTGATGAAAGCTGATTCTCCGACTAGATATTCCGGATAATATGAATAGATTTTAAAAATACCCCATAGTAGGGGCGCCTGGGTGGCTCAGTCGGTTAAGCGTCTGCCTTCGGCTCAGGTCATGATCTCGGGGACCTGGGATGGAGCCCGCATTGGGTTCCTTGCTCAGTGGGGAGTCTGCTTCTCCCTCTTCCTCTGTCCCTCCCCCCTGCTCATGCTCTCTCTCTCTCTCTGTCTCTCAAATAAATAAATAAAATCTTAAAAAAATTCCCCATAGTATTTGGTTTGGATATGCACAGATCGCTTTCTCTGGGCCAGTGTCACTCAGTGGAGTGTCCTCTATGTTTAGACATTTGGGAAACTAATCACAAAACTGAATCTCATGAAAACCTCTAGAGTCAACACACACGTTTGCAGAGAGGAAGTGGGTAGCTCCATGCTCCGTGTTCAGTGCAGTATGCCTCAGGTGCCCCTTCAAGGCTGTACCCTCTATTGCAGGAATACACCACCGTGGGTCCAGTAGTAGTGTTTTCAACCTTGGCTTCTCCGTTCAGAAACCCAAGTGGAGCTTCACACCTGGTCTCTAGAAAGAAAAATGAAAGCCTCGTATTAAATGCTTCTTCCAATCCTCCTACAATTGCTAAAGGTACTCAATGCACCATATAAAATATTAAAGCCTACTCCTATGTGAAACACAAAAATATGCTTTGAAGGAGGAAAAAAACCCAGCATGTATAAGTTTTGATTTATGCATGTAGGCAATTAAAGATTGGTATTTTGCCTGTTGACTCTAGCTATATTTATGTATATTGCCACCTTTTGTTGTTAATAATGCTGGGGGTATAAATGAACAAGCCCTATCTCAGACCACATGAATCACAATCTCTGTGTTGTGACCTAACTTTTGGTATTAAAAGCTCCCCATATGATTTCTAATGGTCACTCAGGGTTGAGAGCTAGTGGATTAGGTGCTAACCGACTCCTCTGGGCTTCATCCAGCTTGGTGAGTACTCCATACACCGGGACCATGGATCTTGGAATTACCTGGGAGCTTTAAAAACATATTGATGTGGGGTCCCACCCCCAGAGATTTGACTTAACTGATTTATCTGGGCAAGGGATTTTTCAAAGCTCCGTAGGATGCTCCAATGTGCCTAAGGCTAAAAGCCATAGGTCTAAGGCAGTGCTTCCAAACTAATGTGCATAGAAATCATCTACGGAGGGCACCTGGGTGGCTCGGTTGGTTGGGGGTCTGCCTTTGGCTCAAGTCATGATCCTGGAATCCCAGGATGGAGTCCCGCATCAGGTTCCCTGCTCAGCAGGGAGTCTGCTTCTCCCTCTACCCTTCACCCCACTCTCTCTCTCTCAAATAAATAAATAAAATCTTAAAAAAAAAAAGAAATCATCTAGGGATTTTGTGAAAATGCAAATCCTATTCTTTGTGGGATTTTTTCTTTCTCTTTCTAAATTACTAAATACATGGTACAAGTTCTTTGTAGAAAATTAGAAAACACAAATAAGCAAAAAGAAAATAATAGTTTTAATTCCACCACAGGGATAAAACTGTTAATATTTTTATATATTTTATTATATGCTTTTTCCCTGGGGCATATGAAAAATACAAATATTTCTGGGGGCAGAAGTGCTCATACTGAGCAACCTGATTTGAAAGATTCCTATATAATTTACTAAATTATTACATATATTGATATCTGTATCTATCAGTGAACAGACTTCCCTGAAAACTGATAGATACAGATATCAATATATTTTATTTGATAACTTAGAAAGAAAAAGAAAAAACCCCACAGATAAAGAATAGGATTTATATAGGGGTGCCTGGGTGGCGCAGTTGGTTGAACATCCAACTCCTGCTTTTGGCTCCGGTCGTGATCTCAGGGTCATGAGATCGTGTCCTGCGCTGGGCTCCGTGCTCAGCATGGAACCTGCTGGAGATTGTCTCTCCTTCTTCCTCTGTGACTCCTGCTCATGCGCCTGCTCTCTCATTCTCTCTCAAATAAATAAATAAATCTTTAAAAAAATAATAGGATTCATATAGAACTTTTTATTACTATCCTGCATTTTGGAGAGACCAACTATACAAACCATCATCATTGCAGTTTGAATGAAACCTGCCACAGAACTGAAACAGTCCCCTCACCAACACCATGGTGGGTTCCTATGCCAGACATACATGTATCCTTTTCATTTCCCACTCTCCTTCCCAGATACGTTCATACATTTTTTGATCATGAACATCTGAGATAAAAAAAAAAGCTACTATCAGAAATACCCAATGATGCCTTTCTGTGACTTGAGATGTTACTCAATGCTTTTAAAAAATATTTTTCTGTATAATATTTATACAAGTTTTTGAGAACTAAAAACAGTCATATATTCTCCACTGAGTTTCAGCCACATAATATTCCTTTAAGAATTTAAGATTCCTGTATATGTAAAATCAAATCATTAATCTACCCCAGAAGATATGGTTAAAATCACAGTGAACAAAGATTTGCATACCTTGAGTCCTACTGTCAGCTTTGCTATTAACTTAATTTATGATATTGGGCAGGTCATTTCACTTCTCCTCGTCCCCCATTTACTTATTTAGGAAGATAAATAAATCTAGCTGATCTTGACTTAGTCCAGTCTAGACCAGCTGACTCATCTAAGAGACTGCTTAACTAGATAATCTAAGAGGCTAATACTAGTTTGAAAATTTGATGACTCCCCCAGGATTATCAAGAGAAAAAGGTTTAAAGCCTGCCACTTTGATAGGCTTGTACTATTTTATCTAACTGTAGTTGACCCTTGGACAACGTGGGGGTGGGGAGTGCCAACATCCCATGCTGTCAAAAATCCACATATAATTTTTGACACCCCTGAAACTTAACTAATGAAGAACCTGTTGACATAAACAGTTGATTAACACATATTTTGAATGTTTTATGTATTATATACTGTATTCTCACAATAAAGTAAGCCAGAGAAAAGAAAACATTATTAAGAAAATCATAAGGAAGAGAAAATAAGTTTCTAGTACTGTACTTGTATTTATTGAAAAAACCCCCACATGTAAGCTGATATGCCCAGTTCAAACCTGAGTTGTTTATGGGGTCGACTATATATGGTCTCTGGCAGAGGAATCATATGGGCCATGTGTTGGGAATAAACTCATGTGAATTAACTCATCTCTTGCTAAATAAACTTGGATGTTCTCATAAAATGAGTTAATGCAAAATTCCACAACTATTCATTTACTTGACAGATGTGACATCACTTTAAAAAAATGTCAGTATTGGCTAGTACCATCACCAAAAAGGGACAATGCTAAACCTTCTAATTTATAATTATTTGGGGGGGAAAATCCACAAAATGAGACAAATAAATTCAATAGTTAAATAATTTCTAACAAAATGTTTGCCATTCCGGAGTCGGTAATCTTGTGCTCTATGCCACTTTAATCATTAATCTCTACTACAATTTTTGACCCTTTTGTTGATTTGGTGCCCTTGAGTGAAAGCCCATCAAAGAGTCTCACACAGTTCGTGGAGATGATTAAAAAAATATTTTTTAATTGAAACACTGATTTGTAAAGGAAATGTGGCCACACTGTTATTATGCATCATCAGTATTGTCTTTGGGACCGCTGAATGTCATGTGACTTACTTTTGCACCTTGCTACCTCTCCACTCCACATTCTGTTCTTCTGACAAACACGTTCCTTGTTCCCCTGTGAATCAATGAAAAAAAAAAAGGTTATTGCCAGTATTATACCTCAATGATGAAAAGACAATAAGGGAATGCAAAATAATCTTAGCTATGAACCTGAATCTCCCAGCACTGGAATGCTAAATGAATTCATTAAATAAATATGGTTTAAGGATGAGGCTTACACTTTCAAAAATGCTTTCACCAATTTACTTCAAAATTCATACCCGGGCTGACCAGTGTAATTAAAGGACAGACTTTCACTTTCTATTTAAGTGACAACTGATTATAACCAATAGCAAAGGTTGATAAGGAATGCGTGTGAAATGTCAAGGAAGTATATTTGCTGAGTAAATTTTAAAAATATTTTGAATTGAATTTACTTTTCAATACCTGAGAGGTACAGCAAAGAATGGGAATTGGTTTTTTTACACCTTCGAACATGAAACAAGTCAAAATATCTTATTGGTTTGAGAATTGAATTTTTTGACAATGTAACCTATCCATTAAAGATAAACTTACCCTGTTAAGGGCCCAAGCATTTAAAATTTTAAATATTTGGAGTAAAAATCTTTCTAAACTTTACTTCCCTACCTTCTGAAATAAAGCAAAATGAATAGAATTTACTTGAAAAATTATTTATAATTATTATTCTGAATATATTTTTGTACATTCTTCAATAGCCCATAACCCTTGATGGCTATATAGGCTGTTGGACCCCTATAGTTATTATAGGTATATATGTGCTAAGATTACTATTCTTGACTTCTGGATATAATTTTTATGAGTCTTTGTTTCTTCCTTCTTTGTTGTTTATCTTTTACTACAATCATCAGTGTTCCTAAATAGGCAGGGAGCTGGCTTTAATGGCTTGTCATATACTTCCTCAAAATTAATAAAAAATAATTCACAAACTAAAATAGTACATTTTCCTGTGCATACATAAGTATATAAACATAGTAAAAGTATAGCAAATGTTAACAGTGTTTATCTCTGGATGAAGAATACTGAAAAACTACTTTTCTTTTGCATTTTCCAACCTTTCTATAATCAACACATATTGCTTTTTTCAATAAGAAAAAAATAATGACTTTATATTAAAAGACCTGTTAACTTAATTGATTCAATTTTTCTTAGGAAGTCAGGATAATAACCCTCTATTAAAATCAACAGAATCTTTAAAAATAAAAAAATAAAATAAAATAAAGTCAATGGAACTTTACAGGTAAAGATTTATCAGTAGACTGATAGCTCAAAGAAAATATCTTTGAATAGAAGAATAATGATGTGGGCGTCTGGGTGGCTCAGTCGGTTAAGCATCTGCCTTCGGCTCAGGTCATGATCTCAGGGTCCTGGGATCGAGTCCCGTATTGGGCTCCCTGCTCTGTGGGGAGCCTGCTTCTCCCTCTCCTCCCCACTTGTGCTCTCTATCTCACTATTTCTGTCTCTCTCTCTCAAATAAATAAAATCTAAAAAAAAAAAAGAAGAATAATGATGAAAGACATTAGGTAAAACCAAGAGAGGCAATAGCTCTTTGTCAGACATCTTGCTAAGGCAGAATACAGCTTCAGGATAATTTGATATCCAAAGGGCTCTGAGCAATGAAACAGGTAACAAAATCTGTGTGCATATGTTGACTTAGAATCAAGCCCCTTAATACATTACTTAGAACCTAATCTTTTTAAACATATAGTATAAAATTTTATTTTATTACTTCATAGCAGATAAGGAATTTAAAGCTTGGAGAAGAACTCAAACACATGCAAAATATAACAGTAGAAAGAAAAGTAACAAACTTTGATATAGCCATCACCCACCTTATACAATTAATTCAAGGCCAACCTTGTTTCCTCTAAGCCCTACCTCCTTCCTATGAATGCACCTTATTTTGAAGCAAATCCCAGACATCAAATCATTTACCAGTAATTATTTCAGTACTAATCTCTAAAAGATGCGGGCTCTTAAAACTATAACAACAATAACCAATAATACTATCACAGCTTAAAAAGTAATTCCTTAATATTAATAACAATCCTGTTAATGGTCAAATTTCCAACTGTTGCATAAACTTTATAACTTATTGCTTTATGGTTCACTTGAATCCAGACTAAAATAAGGTCTACATGGTTTATGTACCTCTTTAAAATTTAGGTTCCTTCTATTTCTTCCCCTCTTACCCTGTCAATTTATTTGTTTCAGAAACTGGAAAACTGGGTCAGTTGTTCTGTAGCTACTTCTACAGACCGAATTTTGCTGATGGCTGCATTATGGTATCTCTTACCAAGTACTTCTGTCTTTGGTACTGGTAGTCAGATTTAGAGGTTTGATAAGATTCAAACTCAACTTTTCTTCTTTTTGGCAAGACTTTTTCATATGGTGTGTTTTTCCATCCAGAGGCACATAATATCTGGTTGCCTCTTTTTTTTCTAACACCAGTAGCCATGATGATGATGACCTAAATCAACTAGTTCATAAGAGTTGCAAACTCTGAGATTTAAATTCTATCAATTATTGACTGAAATACTTCTATAAAGGAAACTTCCATTCATTTTCTACTGGTTTTCCTGTCATCCAGTTAGCATGGAAAAGACAATTCTTCCCATTTCATTGTCTGTTTTCAAAATAATGAATTTGTTCATGAACATCCTCTAATAGTTACCAACTGATTTTCTGTGTCCTTATGAGTCTACTGTTACTCGTAACAGATTTGATGTGTTTAGTCCATTAAAGTTATTGCCTTATTGAAGCCCAAATGGTCTCATGTTGGCCTGTGGGAACCTCATCCAGTTGGCCTCCAAGTCTTTTTAACATGTAGTCTTTAATAGGTTCCCTAATATCTCACACGACAAGCTTTTCTAGGCTAATCTTTTACATTTCATGTCCCACACCTGGCATTGGTTATTTCTGCAAGTAACTAGACATTACTATTTCTTAAAAGTTTCTAACAGGTAGCTTAGAATGAGAACTATTGCTATAGCACGTCTCTCAATTTTGTAGTTAACACTGGGATATTCCCCAAATTTTTTAAGGTAAATCATCTACTTCCTCAAACTTAATGACCCATCTAGTTACTAAATATTAAATTTAAATTCATAAGTTTAAATTTTATACCACTTTACTTCTTAACAAATTGCAAGATTAGTACTCTCACATTAAAAAATTAATTTCAAAACCAGAAAAACTCTCCAAATGCAATCAACCATTACATTATCATACTTCTTTTTTTCTTTTTTAAAAATCTTCTAAGGAAATGAAAAAAGATCCACATAAGTTTAGTTCCAAATTTCATGGACCTATCTTATGACAATTCTCTGAATGCATGGTCAAAAAATTATGGAATGTACTATGCAAATTTAACAAATAACTGGCAATGAATACTTCTGCAAAACCCACATTTAAATACCACTACTACAATAAAAACAGGAAGAAGTTTCCAGAAAAACCAGATGATGACATTAGGAAATATAAGCAAGCCTCTTAAATTTGAAGTTTGATGATATGATCAATGCTTCAGCAAAATTGACTCCAGATAGGAGGGGAGGATGGCAGTGGAGTAGGAGGACCCTAGATTCACCTCATCCCACAAATACAACTAGATAACTATCAAATCATACTAAATACCCCTCAAGTCAACTTGAACACTGGCAGAACAAACTCCATAACTAAAGGTAGAGAAGAGGCCACAATGAAGAAGGTAGGGAGTGCAGAGATGCATTTTGGGAGAGAAAAAGACTATGGCCACTGCAGTGGGGAGGGAGCTGCAGTAGCAGAGAAGAGTGAGAGAGAGACTAGCACACAGGGGAGCACATAGGGAGGATGAATCCCCATAACAATTGGCTTGGAAAGCAAGAGGGCCTGAATTTCATAAGTTCTGGTGGGTTCAAAGCCTAGAGTTTTAAAGATCAGTGTGTTTGGCTCTGGAAGAGCTTGGAGGACATTGGAGTTGTTCTTAGAGAGAAGGCAGGCAAACATCCCCAGACATACAGCATGGACATAGTGATCTGAAGAATGCCTGGGGCATGCAGTGGGGAGGTTAGTTGCTCATCTCAGAGTGTGTCTCAGAGAGGCAGCATTGATGGAGAGACCCCTCTGGGAACAAAGGAACTGGCAGGCACCATTCCTCGCCCCCCTCAGCAGAAGCACAGGGCTACCTGCAGAAACCAGCGCAGTGCCGACACTCACCACCTAACTTACTTATACCAATGCTGCCATCCTGCACTCCAGAAGAACCCTCCTTCCCAGTCACACTTGCCTCAGTCCCAGTGCAGTGGGCTCCCTACTCCAGAAGACCAGCCTAAACCCCTGCCAACACTGCACCTCCTGACCTGGGAGTGTTGCAAGGCCTCAGTTCTGGTGGTGGTGGTGATAGGTCTCATTTCACAAGCAGACCAGAGCACACCTAGTTAAATGTGCCACATTTAGGCCAGAGACAAACACTGTCCACAATTGGCAAAGAGAACCTCTGCAGACCACTGGCCTGAAGGATAAAGCAGCCAGGACACAAAAGCAGAGCACATGCAACACACAGTGGAGACACTCTCAGAATCACCAGGCCCTGGGGAACAAGGGACACTACACTGCAGGGCACTATAGGACCTCTTCTTCATAAAGCCATTACCCTCAAGAATAAGAGACATAGCATTCTTAACACAGAGAAACAGGCACAGAGAGTTAGATAAAATGAGAAGACAGAGGATTTTGTCCCAAATGAAAGAATGGGACAAGGCCACATCCAAAGATCTAGGCAAAACAGATATAAGTAACATGCCTGATGGAGAATTTAAAGCAATGATCATAAGGATACTCACCAGACTTCACAAAAGAATGGAGGACATCAGTGAGACCATTAACACAGAGATAAGGAATAACATAGCAGAGATAAAAGGCTCAATAAACAAAATAAGCAACATACTTAACAGAAGTAACAGCAAGCTGGAAGAAGAGGAAAGAAATAATGACACAGAAGACAGAGTAATGGAAAGTAATCAAGCTGAACAATAGAGAGAAAAAAAAATCATGCAAAATGAGAACAGATTTAGGGAACTCAGTGACTACATCAAACATAATAATATTATGGTATTATTAGCATAATATTATACTAATATTAATACTCCAAATATTATCGGAGTCCCAGAAGAAGAGAGAGAAAAGGGGGTAGAGTATTTATTTGAAGAAGTTATAGCTGAGAACTTTCCTAAATCTGGGGACAGAAACAGATATCCAGATCCAGGAGGCACAGAGAACCCCCAACAAAATCAACAAAAGCAGATCTACACCAAGACACATTGTGACTAAAATGGCAAAATATAGTGAGAAAGAAAAATATTAAAAGCAGCAAGACAAAAGAAGACAGTTACATACAAAGGAAACCCTATATGGCTATCAGTGGATTTTTTAGCAGAAACATTCCAAGCCAGAAGGGAGTTGTAAGATATATTCAAAGTGCTAAATGAGAAAAATCTATAGCCGAGAATACTCTATCCAGTAAGGCTATCACTCAGAATAGAAGGAGAGATAAAGAGTTTCCCAGACAAACAAAAACTAAAGGATTTCATGACCATTAAACCAGCCCTGCAAGAAATATTAAAGGGACTCTTTGGGTGGAAAGGATAGACCAAAAATGACATAATGAAGGTAGGAAATACAAAGCAATAAAAATGAATATTTTTGTAAAAAATCAATCAAGGAACTCACAAAATAAAAGGATGTAAAATATGACACCATATACCTAAAATGTGGGGAGGTGAGGAGGAAAGAATGGGTTCAAACTTAAATATCTATCAACTTAATTTAGACTGCTATATGCAGAAGATGTTATATACAAACCTAATGGTAACCACAAATCAAAAACCACTAATAAATATGCACAGAATGAAGAGAAAGAAATCCAGATGTATTGCTAAAGAAAATCAGCAAAACATGAGAGAATTAGATAAGAAAGAATCAGAGAAAAACTTCAGAAACAGCCACAAAACAAGTAATAAAATGGCAATAAATACATATCCATCAATAATTATTTTGAATGTAAATGGACTAAATGCTCCAATCAAAAGACAGAGGGTGACAGAATGGATGAAAAACCAAGACCCATCTATAAACTGCCTACAAGAGACTCATTTTAGATCTAAAGACACCTGCAGATTGAAAGTAAGGAGATGGAGAAGCATCTATCATGCACCTGGATGTCAAAAGAAAGCCAGAGTAGCAATACTTACATCAGAAAAAAACCCCTAACCAGACTTATCAAAAAAGAAAAGAGAAAGGACTGAAATAAATAAAATCATAAATGAGAGAAGAGAAATAACAACCAACACCACAGAAATATAAACAATCAGGATATGAAAAATGTTGGATGCAGAGAGTACTTAAAAATAAAATTTTTAAAAAAAGGTTTTTTTCTAGTGAAGGAAACAATCAACAAAACTAAAAGGCAACCTATGGAATGGGAGAAGATATTTGAAATGACATGCCTGATAAAGGGTTAGTATCCAAAATATATAAAGAACTCAACACCCAAAAAACAAATAATTCAATTAAAAATGGGCAGAAGACATGAACAGACATTTCTCCATAGAAGACATACAGATGGCTAACAGGCACATGAAAAGATGTTCAATATCACTCACCACCAGGGAAATGCAAATCAAAACTACAATGAGATATCATGTCACACCTGTCAGAATAGCTAAAATAAAAAACACAAGAAACAACAAGTATTGGTGAGTATGTGGAGAATAAGAAACCCTCTTGCACTGTTGGTGGAAAGGCAAACTAGTGCAGTCACTGTGGAAGACATTATGGAGGTTCCTCAAAAAGTTGAAAGTAGAACTACCCTACGATCCAGCTATCACACTACTGGGTATTTACCCAAAGAATACAAGAACACTAATTTAAGGGGGTATATGCCCCCCTACATTTACTGCAGCATTATTTACAGTAGCCAAGATATGGAAGTAGCCTAAGTGTCCATCAACTGATGAATGGATAAAGAAGATGTGGTATATATTACAATGGAATATTACTCAGCCATAAAAAGAATGAAATCTTGCCATTTGCAATGACATGGATGGAATGACATGGATGCTAAGTGAAATAAGTCAGTCAGAGAAAGACAAATACCATATGATTTTACTCATGTGCAGAATTTAAGAAACAAAACAAGCGAACAAAGGGGAAAAGAGAAAGAGAGAGAAACAAACCGAGAAAGAGACTCTTAACTATGGAGAACAAACTGATGGTTATCAGAGGGAGGTCGGTGGGGGGATGGGTGAAATAGGTGATGGGGATTAAGGAGGGCATTCATCATGATGAGCACTGGGTGATTTAAAGAAAAAAACAACTTAAAAAAAATCAACTGCAGCCTTCCCACCAAAGTAAATAGGGAGACACAGGTGTTGCTGATGGGGTTTTAATACTACAGACCAGGAGTGGTCTTGAAACCTAACTTGGTATTTGGTTAGAACTGCTCTGAGGATTTTCAGGCCACACTTGTCATACGTCAACCTGGCATCTCAACCAAGAACCCTCCAAGGTATTTAAACCCATTGCTTGAGGAAGTCTTAGTTTGTATACCTAAATCCCTATGGTCTTCTCCCCACAGTGACAGATGGACTGCCCTGTTACACAGCAGGATTAACAGGAGGCCAAAACACAGGCTTAAATGACCAACTAAAGTAACAGTATCAGTCTTGTGGCTAGTATTCCAGCTTCCTCTTCTTTTTCATGGCTCTGATTTTTTGAATTTGAGACTTACTTTGTTTTTTAAAATTATAAGTCACTTTAAATATTTCTTGGAGAATGTTAGGATATACAGTAACAAAGTTTAAAAAATCTTTTAGGGCCAAAATCAGTGAAACAAATTGGTGTTAATACTAAAAATGTTCCCAAGTATATTGGAAAAACAAATTAATTCTAGTTAACCAACTTATTCACTTACCTCTAATTCATAGCCAGGTTCACACTGATAAATAATTGTGCTTTCAAAACTGTATTTACTGCCAAACACAAACCCATGTTCTGGACTTTCAGGTTTTCCACAAGAAACTGGACTGCAGGACTCATCAGAAAATGGTGGCTCCCAGGTGCCATCAAGCTAAATAACAAATGACAGATTAGAAATTACATTTAGGGGTGCCTGCCTGGGTCAGTTGCTTAAGCGTGTGCCTTAGGCTCAGGTCATGATCCTGGAGTCCTGGGATCGAGTCCCACATCGGGCTCCCTGCTCGGTGGGGAGTCTGCTTCCCCCTCTGACCCTCCCCCCTCTCATGCTCTCTCTCTCTCTGTCTCTCAAATAAATAAATAAAATCTTAAAAAAAAAAAGAAATTACATTTAGGAGTTAATACATATGAATGAAGAAATTGGCAAATATTGGCATAGAAGAATAATAATCCCCAAAATGATGGTCAAAAGAACCTAGAATTTGGTTCTACTTCTGATATGTATTACCTGTGGCCTTAAAAAAACACAGACTAATTATTAGATGGCCTTCTCAGTTATTGCTGAACAATTTTAGACATTTCTCACACACATAAAACAAATATTTTGTTCCTAATAGAATCCATTAAAAAAATCAAGAACACCAAGAAGTATGTTTTCATTATGATGAAGGAGGACTGGAAGGTTGACACAAATATTCCATGACTGATACTAATGTGTCCTTACATTTCACTTTACTGCTCCCCCCGCCCCCCGCCCCACTCAGAGTTAACATCTTTCATCATCTATTTGTGTGAAGTGAGGCATACCCAGATGTTTCTCCTGAAGACTATTATTCTCTTGCTAATATTTTTCTGTTTTCTTTGAGGAAATGGTGCATGAGCTGGATAACAGTCTAAAACAGGACATTTATGGCGGGGTGCCTGGGTGGCTCAGTCATTAAGCATCTACCTTCAGCTCAGGTCACGATCCCAGGGTCCTGGGATCGAGCCCCGCATCAGGACTCCCTGCTCGGCAGGAAGCCTGCTTCTCCCTCTCCCACTCCCCCGCTTGTGTTCCTGCTCTCGCTAACTCTCTCTCTCTGTCAAACAAATAAATAAAATCTTTAAAAAAAATAAAAAAATAAAATAAAACAGGACATTTATTCCACATTTGAGGCAGAATTAATTTTATATATGTGCCTGCCTCATAATTAACCACTCCCCTAATGTCGGAAATATAAGTTGCATCTAATTTTTCAATACTGTGAATAATGCTTCAATAAACATATCTTTCTACATAAATTATTCTGGGCATTACTATTAACTTTTAAAAACTATGTGGTATTGGTTTCTTTTGATATATCCTGGAACTGTTTTGGCATATTTTAGTTTTTTCCTGTAATGGTTACTTCACTATACCAGAATAATTTGTTTACTAATGATTCCTTTCTCCCATTTGTGATGATTCCTTTATCAGGATGTACTTTTGATTTATTTCTTCCATTCCCCTCATTTTCCTGTCTGCTGAATCTATACCAAACCACACTGATAGGACCTTTGTAATTCTGTAATATGTCTTAATTTCAGGAAGGGCCAGAACTCCTTCAGTATTCATTCTTCAAAATTCATATTGATCTTCTCATCCATTTATTTGTTCTATGAAGTACAGAATCGTTTTGTTGTATCAAAATAAAATATTTCTAGGCACTGAACATAGTTTTAGACAATTCCTGCATTTAAGCACTTAGAAAAGGTCTATTCTACCTTTTAGAACAGAATTCAACCCAAAACTCATTTGTGTGGGGTTTGTGTGAGGGGTCATACCTTATGTGGAGAAAGCGATGAGGGTTGTCAAAAATAAATTATCGACTCCAAAAATAAACCAAACCCATAGTCACCAATACGTCAGGGTCCTACAAGGCACACGGAGGAGCACCCAGTTGTCCACACACCCAACCCAGACAAGCTCTGGAGGAACGTTGAATTAATTCCCTGAGCATGTCCCTACAGGACAAACTTCCTGTAAGTTTATTTCAAACAGCTCAGGGTCCTTGAAAAAGTTGTCCCTCAAACTGCTTCAGCTCTAAATCTAGATAGGACCATCTGGAATGATACCAATTTTGAGAGCGCAGTAACTCTGACAGTCATCTGACCTGCTTCCTGCGATGTTCCTGTTTTTAGGTTTGGTAGCAATGAATCACTGAGTATGCATGATTTATAAATGGAAAACCGGGAGGACTATGAAATAGTTCTTGAGTCCCTACTAAATGTCAGGTATGTACTAGATGCTTTATAAACATTAAATAATTTCATTCTTCCAATTACAGATTTACAAATAAAGGGGGGGAATAGGTCGTCACAGAGCCTGTCAATATTAGCGATGGAGTTCAAAGGAATGTTTAAGGTAAAAGTCATTTCTATACCATGCAGCCTGTCCCCCCTTTCAGCTCCTCCCTCCCCCAACTCCAGCAACAGAAGAATATATCGATAACTCATTTTATTTTTCTTTCTCTGGTGAAGAGGGTGTGCTAGGGATATCTGCTCTCTATGGTGCTGATCTAGGTTGTTTACTCTCTAGTTTCTCATTCCGACCATACAAGACATATATTGTTATACACATTTTTTCAAATAAGGAGACTGAAGCTCAGACATTTTAAGTGACTTTCTTAAAGTCACACAAGGAGTAGGTAGCAGAGACAGGATTTGATCTAAGTTACTGTCTGTTTCTGCAACCTCTGGTTTTTCTACTAAGACTGGAAACATTTGCTATCAGACAGGGCTCATTTCCCACACAAGGACACTCTTTACTACATTTATGTGTAGACCATCTGACTTATGGTTAATTTTTCATGAATATTTTGTTATAGATATTTTAACATTTTATCTCACTTTGGCACTTTTCACCTACTCTTGGCATTTTCTTAGTTTAAAAATGGGAATATTAAAAAGAAAGCTATGTTTTACAATATATCTACCAAAAAACTCCTCAAACTCTTGACACAGTTGGAAACTTGAGACATTTTTTTCTTTTCAGGATAGTCAGATACTGCTGTAGACACACACACACACATTTAATATATATAAATGAGTTACACATACACGTTCTAGGACAGAGAATCTTACCTGACACGTTGATATGTTAACTCCCTCATAGATATACCCTTCTGCACATGACACAGAAACTTGCTTATTCACACTGAAATCATCCCCATGAACATGTATATGTGTTATATTTGCTGGAAGAGGACATTTTTTAGGGCTGCAGAAGATTCTCTCGGGAAACCAGTGACCATCTTTCTGGCAGGTGAATGTATCTATATCTGTATCCATCACATAACCTTCCAGACACCTACAATGGAAAAGCAAAATAAGTGCCTTAAAGAGAGTACAATACAGTTGGTGACTTATTCTTGGATTTAAGATGCTGTTACAAAGCTCAGTAGACATTTTATGTGATATATTGAAACTGATTTGAATGTCAAGGGAACGGCATTGCCGTGCAAAAACACCAACATAACAAATGACAAGCAGATCAGTCCTTAGCTGTCCACATTAAGGATTAGCCAAGCCTAAAGTTGATTTAAATGTTGTTGACATTATTTACCCTTGTTGTGGATAATATCAATATTGAATTCACTTTTATTCTGAAAATAGCTAATAGTTCAAAAAATTCTAGACAAAGCACAAAACAGACTCAGATACTAGTAAGAATATGACAATTAATATTTATTGAGAATCTACTTTATGCCAAGCACTGTTCTAAGTCCTTTATATAGGGTATTTCTGTTAATCCTGAGTAGTAGATACTATTATGTAACAACAGTATTGGTGTTCAAACTCAAATCAACCTGGCTCTAAAATACTCTATGATTTTTTAAAATTTGCATTTATTTATTCAGCAAATGTTTACATAGCACTTATTAAATTCTAGTCACTGTTCTAAGTGTTCTACAAATATTAATTCATTTAATTCTCATGTGAACCCTATGAGCAGGTATGATTATTATCTTTATTCCCATTTAGCAGATGATGAAACTGACATCAGAGACACTAAATAACTTCCCCAGCAAGTAATAGAGATGAGATTCCTGCCTAGGGAGTCTGGTTCTAGAATCCACGCTTTCACTACTATACTACACTGCCTTTTAAATTAAACCATTTAGCTAATTAACATTTATTAGGTGGATATATTTTTTCAATTTCACAAATCACCAGGCTAGGTAGGAGTCACAGGTTTTGTAAACTTGTAATCTGTTTACCACAAGTAAAGATCTGAAACATAATCAATATATGACATGGCATAACAAATGGGGGGCTCTTGAGAAGCAGGTGATACTGTGATTTCTCAAGATATGTCACACATCAACATCTGAAGAGAAAACTGAAGATGTATTTCAAAAGCAAGGGATAATTTTTGTTTTTCTTCTCAGTGCATGATCAACTACCCTTCATTTCTTATCATTTCTTATCACTGATGATACTCCCTTGGGTCTCCTCCTTACTGAAATTAGGAGAAAATGAAGGTAGGGCTAAGATGTTCACCATAGACATGTTTAAGAAGAGTAACTGAATTATTAAAATCTAAGAAGCCAATATGTGAAGGATAATCCATAATTCCTTCAGAGACGTGAATAAAATCTAAATTGATTTAGAGGGTTGAGATATCTTATGGGCATTTATTCCAATAAAAATTTAACTTATAAATTTATTCCATATTCTCTTATTTCTTTTTAATAATGCATTATAGATAACTTTACAGCAAAAAGTCACCATTTGTGCATCAAATAGTTTAGTTTGTTCAAATAGCATAGGTTGGAAGTCTACTTAAGATATCTTGCTATAGGGCGCCTGGGTGGCTCAGTTGGTTAAGCGACTGCCTTCGGCTCAGGTCATGATCCGAAGGCTCAGGTCATGATCCTCGAGTCCCGGGATCGAGTCCCGCATCCGGCTTCCTGCTCGGCAGGGAGTCTGCTTCTCCCTCTGACCCTCCCCCCTCTCATGCTCTCTCTCTCTCATTCTCTCTCTCAAATAAATAAATAAAATCTTTA